AAGGAAGCTTATTGAGAAGACCAGCATGCCAAACTTTATCAAACGCCTTAGAAATGTCAAGAGCGATGGCCTTAACCTCTCCACCTTTATCTAATGCGCGATAAAACCTATCGGTTATTACTGATAGCAAATCAGCCGTAGAACGAGAAGATCGAAATCCATATTGATGATCAGAAAGTAGGTTATGAGATTCGAGATTCGAGATTAAGTGTTTGTTAATTAAAGATTCAAAAATCTTGCTTATGGTAGGAAGAAGACTAATGGGACGGTAGTCAGACAAATCGGATCGCTCTTTAGAATTTTTAAAAATAGGGATAACAGATGCTGCTTTCCACCAGGCTGGAAAGAACTCTAACTTTAGGTTCTTTCCAGCAGGCTGGAAAGAACCTAAAGACTCTGATAAGCACTTGTTAAATAGTTTTGAAAGAATAGACGACAGCTCCGGAGAACACTTCTGCAAGACTATAACAGGTATGTTGTCCGGGCCGCAAGCTATAGAAGAGTCTAAGCGGGAAATCACTTTAGATACAGAAGCTGGAGTGATACGAATGTCGAGCAATGGATCAACCTGTTTGACGGCTATATCGAGTAGAACGCAACTAGTGGCATTAAGAGTTGATGTTGATGAAAAGTTCTTGGCAAACAATTCAGCTTTGTCTTTAGGTGAGGTGACAAAGTCTGAACCATACAAAAGAGGTGGAATTACAGACTTGTCCTTATTATTGATACTATTAAAGATTCTCCAGAAGTCACGAGAGCCTAATTTTTGTGATGAAATACGAGATTTCATGATCTGAGAATAGCGGGCTTTGGCGTTAGACAAAACCTTTTTACAATGGTTCCTAGCAGTAATAAACAGACGTAAGTTTTCTGGAGAATTGTTCTGCTGATAGATATGGAAGTAATGGTTTCGATTAGCAATTACAGCAGCACAATGTGAGGAAAACCATGGAGAAGAGTGAGGCTTGACCTGGAATCATCGAGAGGGAATAAAAGATTCAATGCCAGCCTGAATCCACGAATTTATGTAAGAACCACATTTGTCAACAGGGAGACGAAAGATTTCTAACCAGAGGCCATCACGAAGAAAATCACGGAAAGAGTCCCAGTCAGCTTTAAGGTAGTTGGAAGATGTACGATGATAGGGGGATTCTGATGGTAAAGAAGAATGAGATAATAGTTTTAGAGAGACCAAACCATGGTCAGAAGCACCTAAAGGTGAGTGTGAAGAAACTGAGCACTGACTAGGATCAGAAACAAGACATAAGTCGAGTAGAGAAGGTAAATGATTTCGGTTGTCTGGAAAGCGAGTTGGAAAGTTGACCATTTGAGTTAGGGATTGAGAAAGACAAAAGTTGTGGGCCTTAATGCCTGCAGAGTCACTGACACTAGAGCCAAGCCATTCAGTGTGATGAACATTAAAGTCACCGACAACAACAATATTGGCTGATGGATAAAGAATGAGGGCTTGGTCAATGTAATCAGAAATAACATCAAGAAGAGTGCAGTCTTGAGATGAGGGAGAGCAACATTAGACAAAAGACGAGCTAGAGGAGATCTTATACAACAATGCAGATTCAAACAAAATATAGACCAAATAAATTGGTACAAAAATCCAAAACCGGCATCATCCGTGACTAGTTCAGGCCCGGCTATTTCTGTAAGGGGCAATAAATACAGGCTAGAAAGAGAATACGCACCATCATCTTTACCGATATATAATTTCTTTACCAACCGAGTTTGTAAAAATTGGAATTTGTTACCAAATGAAATCATTGAAGCAACATCGTTGAATGTTTTCAAAGCGCGAATAGATAAACATTTTTTATAACTTGTGTTTTTTAATTTGTGTGGGCTGTCTATAACCCGATGCTTGCATCGCTTTCCACAATTTATTTTATTTTTAAATATTTATATTTGAACAAATTTGTAATTGTTACAGCAATTAATATTACTTACTTACTACTATTACTACTTACTTACTAATATTTAAGTATTTTTGTATATTATGTTTAAAGCTGAAGTGATTTTATACACAATTTTTAACTTTAAAGTTCTTTTACTCAAAATGAGTTTTTTTGTTGACAAGCCAGTTTTAGCAAATAATATCTTTTGAACTATATATGGTAGAGTGATCAAATTTTCATAGTATGTTTATAAGACTTGTACTTGCAATTTAAGCTTAAAACATTTGAGTTTTTACTTTTAAATCAAGAAATATTTTTGTCTAATTTTTACTAACATTTTCGACTACATATTTGAGGTGGTCGAGGCAAAAATTATAATATTTTTTTAGTTTAAGTTGTAGACCTTGTTTTAAAGAGTCTGGTGTCAAAGTTTCATTTTGAAATACATAATAGTTCTGAAATTATTATCTGCTAAAATCATAGACTTTTTTCACTATTTTCGCTATTATAGTTGTTTGCTATGAATTTTTTTTTTTTTCCGGTAAATTACATTTATTTTTAGAGACCTCTTAGAAAATATATAGTTTAATAGCATGCAATACCAAGTTACTGATTTAGATTTATCAGGGGGTATAATCCTTAAGTACTTTTAGTACTTAACTTTTCAATTGTTTATTTAAATATTCATAATAGTGTTTAAGATTTCTCGATATTTTTTAATTCTCGAGAAATGAGAAATTGAGAATGAGCTTCTCAAGAATTCTTGATAAATTATGAGAAATATCAATTTTTTTTTTTTTTTTTTTATTTTAATATCATATATGTTCATAAAATGTATAAGAACAAACATTGGATTAAAAAAACAGCAGAGTAGCAAATATAAAAGTCAATTTATTAATATAAGAAAAAAATATCACGAAAAAAAGAAAAGCTATAAAATATAAAAGTGTAACAAGTTTTTATTTATTGTTTTTGAAGTAATATTTTAAAAAACATAATGCATTCAATAACGTTTTGCGTTTCAGTTGGTTTTATTGTAGATAATGCATCTTTTTGATTTTCCAAATTTTATGACCTGATTCCAGTTGTTTGAAATATGTTGCATTCTTTTTTAAATGTCTCGTAAAGATTCTGGTTTTCATTATCACAGCGTTCGCGTGGTATAATTTATTTTGTTGTATTTTTTATAGCTAAATTTAGTTGTTCTTCAAGTGATAGCTCAGTTTTGACATTGCTGCTAGTGGAGGTGTCTTCAGTTAGATCTTCTTCAAAATCGGATGACCCATACAATCTATCAAATATTTCTCTTGCAGTTTTATAAATATCATTTTTTGACAAAGATTTAAAAAAAGAAGAAGCATGTTTTTCATCATTTGTTGGGTTATGTAAAAATTCGTAAAAAGAAACAACATTATCATTTCTCCTTTTACTTATTTCTTCTTTTATATTGTTTAAGAATTCTCTACTTATTTGGTTCTTTTTTCATTCTTCCTCTAATTTATTAAATAAAAATTTTAAGGCTCCTTCGGCCGTTAATAATGTTGCATCAGCTCGACTTAAAGCTTCTACAGTTATTCGAGTTGGTTCTAATACAGCTAATAGAATTTCGGCCATTGTATGAAATTATCTTTCCACAAATGGGTCAAATTTAATTCACTTAATGCCATTCGCACGCAGTTTTTGATTTTTAAGAGCCGTTTCACTATTATTTCAATAGTATTCCAGCGTGTTTTACAGTCTAGTTGCAAAGCCATTTCTTTTGCTCTTGGTTTTTTAAATATTTTTGTAGAACACCATTTTTCACTGGAGTATTTTTAAACAGTTTTACAATTTTTCGTATTTCTACAATTGCATCTTTAATTTGGGATGTTTTTGCTACGTAACACATCAATTTTCAAATCAAAGTTATCTTCTTCTGTAGTTCCAATGCTAGCATCATCGTCGCTATCTACAGTCTCATGCTCGTCTACGGATTTATTTATTTCATTTTTTGGTTCAGCGTAAAACTTTTTCAAAACTGCTGTATGTATCCCATGATTTTAGCACAATTGCTGCAAGGCAGGCGATAATCTACCAAATTTCTTCATAACCGCAGCACCATCGCTCATAACAGTCACAATATTTCCTTGTAAGGATAGACCAAACTCTTCTAATTTTTGTGACAGTATTTCAAAAGTTATTTCTAATGTGCAACTTCCTTCGATAGAAATCATACCAAAGTTAAATGAATTATTTTCATTATTTCTGTATAAATGACCACTCAAGAATCTACGATTTTTAACGCTTGTCCATTCGTCAATAGATACGCTGAATTTTCTTTCTTCGTCCTTTAGTTTCTTTATAATCTGTACTATCTCTTCTTTCTTGCTATGGTAAAATTCCACCATGAATTGTCTCACCTCAGAAAGATTTTGAGGTAATCTGAATCCCCTGGCGGTCATACTTTGCCGTATAAATTCACTTTTAGTAATTTTATTGAACGATATATCGTCCTCAGCAGCCAATTTAGAAATTAATTCTGCCAGAGTTGGTTGCAGAATTTTATTCCGTTTATTTGATGAGACGTAGAACCTTCTAATACGCGAATGTATTTGTGAACATTTTAAAGATGTTCTCCGCAGACCAATCGTTACTGAACTTTTGCATAATAATTTTCTTGTACATAAATTCCAATGTGCCTCATCGTTGTTTGTTTTAAATTATGACTTAACATCTTTGTAAGTCTTGCCCTTGTCGTTGTTGCTCATTTTTTCTATATGAACTAAAATAAATAAATAAATAAATAAAATTACAAACAACTTTTTGTAAGATCGTTTGAAAAAATCAGACAAATCACAAATTTCTTTAAAAAATTATTCTTTTTTTTCTTATATAAAATATAAAATATTGCAATAAGTTATTACTTGAAAACTCTTGCTATTTTAACATTAGTATTTAATGTAAAAAAAAAACATAGCGCTGCATTTAGTTTACGCACATGCAAATAAAATAGAACTATAATTTAAATTAGATTAATCATCGAAGCAAATAAAAATTTTGATATTTTTCTCGAGAATTTTTATTCAATTTCTTGAGAATTGAGAAATAAAAATAATGACTTTTTCTCGAGAAATTCTCGAGAAAGTATTCTCGAGAAATTCTCGAAAAAGTATTCTCGAGAAAATCTCGAGAAAGTATTCTCGAGAAATTCTCGAGAAAGTATTCTCGAGAAATTCTCGAGAAAGTATTCTCGAGAAATTCTCGAGAAAGTATTCTCGAGAAATTCTCGAGAAAGTATTCTCGAGATTAAACACTAATTCATGTTTAATACATGTCCTTTAGTTTACTGTAAAACTGGATATAAAAAGAAAGAAAATTAACTTAATTTTATTCCTGAAAAGCATCAAAAAAAGAAAAAAAAATTAAAATTGGCAAAAAAGTAACATTAGTTTATGACTTAAATTTCGTTTCATTATATATTGCTTAACTGAAAAAATATCATCATCAGTATATAAAACTACATTGAAAGGTAGATAGGCATCGTCTGTCCGTCTTCCATTAAAAATAATCAGGATGTATCCAGTATATTTATAGAAAATACGAAATTCACTGTTTAAATAACTTAAATAATCTTTTACCTTGAAGGGTATCAGCTCAAAATACATAATTTCAATTGGACATTTTATTTGAGTTAAAAATTAATCGACACTTTGGTAATTTAGAAGTTACAGAAACAATTGTAGTGAAGTTATGTATGTTTTATTGTTATCTAAATTATCTAAAAAATGTTTATTTGAAAATTTCACAGCCTATTTAAGAAGAAAATAGTTTGTCACGTAGAAGAAAATAATTAATCAAAGAAATTAATAACTGAACTCAATAAAATAAAATGCAAAAAAACAGTTGATCGGCCAAAGTTTTCATCAAACCTTTTACGAAATTTCCTTATTCTTATTATACATCAGTCCAGACGTAATGACCTTCATGATTGTCCTTATTCTCAAATGTATACAAAACAATTTACCAAATTCTAAATGTTTTAATTCCCTACTTTTCATTTTGATCAGTTTCATGATGTTAGTAATCTACATGCTAGTGAAATATTATGGAAGTTACATAATAATATATATGATAAAGACCAATTATTTCAGTCAAATTTAAAAAATGGTTTCAACTTATCTTATAAACCACTTCATCCCAGAGATAATAAGCAAAGTGTACCACTTCCCGCTAAAAAATGTAGCGTTGATTTGATGTTGATTCAATGTTTCTTGTCAACATTGATTCAATATTGATTTTTTATTTAAAAGGTTAGCCACTTATCAACGTTGATTTTGTGTTTACAAAAAACGTTGATCGATTGTTGCTTTTCAACGTTTAATTAACAAACATTTATTCTGGTGATTCAACACTGATTTTTATAATAGCCGAGGTCATTTTGAAATCGCTTTTTAATGCAAATATAAAATAGCTGCACTTAGTAAGAAAGTAAAAAGGCTAGAAGAAAACAATGCAAATTTAACACCTTCTAGTTCACCTGCTGTTTGTTACAGCCAAATTGCTAAGCAACTAGCCAAACCAGGTTCTGAGCTGTATAAGGCTAGCATCAAAGTGTCAAAAAGTCATGAAATATTATCCAGTAAAAAGTCTAAAAATGTTGTGATTGTTGGTTTGCCTAACTTACAAAAAACTATAACCGAGGATCGCAAGACAGATGACGAGAATATGGTCAACGAATTAATACGTTCGCTGAACAGACGAATAATAATAAAATCAACATTCAGATTAAAATGTAAACTTCCCTTGGTAAACAATGCATCTGAACCGTTAGTTGTCGAATTTGAGAATGAAGTAGCACGAAACGATCCTTGCTGCTGGCTGCAGCAAGGGAACTGTCAATTATTGAGGCCTACAAAAAAGTATATATACGGCCTGACCGCACTCCTGATGATCCGGCTGAATTTGCACAATTAAATAAAGAAAGAAAGGAGGCGAACGAGGACTTGCAACGCAATAATAACCTAGACCAGCCCTTTCGATTTGTCATTAGAGGCGGAAAATTACTGTGCATCGACGTCACTACAACAAAAGACATTGGCAACCGCAAAGTTCACCCATTTGTCAAAGAGAGCGTTGCCAAGCAGGCCCGGAGGGGCTCATATCAGCCAATCCATTTATTTAAAGCAAAATACTAGTACTAACTATTATTAAATTTTATTATACTAATGCTACCTCCTGTAACTGTAATAAATTATCGGAGCTGTCCACACTTGCTTTGGCATAGGAAATTGATGTTATTGCAATTGCAGAAACTTGGTTTAAATTGGATTCGAATAAAATAATTGATGGCTATGAACTGTATCAGGCAGATAGAGGTAGAATTGGAGGAGGTGTTGCCATTTATGTAAATAAAAGACTTACAAATATAGAAATTGTAAATGTGCATATTAACAACAAAGAGATCGAACAAGTCTGATGCTCAATAAGTTGTAATAATTTTCATTTAATTGTTGGTTGTGTATATAGACCACCAAATTTTACAGCTGATTACTCAAAATTGATTCTAAACTCAATCAGAACCGCTTCAAAACTCAAAAGTAGAAAAAAATATCTCATAGTGGTCGGAGATTTCAATTTTCCTAATATAGAATGGACAGATGATGGTCCAATAATTCATTCAAATGGAAACTCAATTGAACATGAATTTATTAAAGTTTTAAATGATTGTTCTCTATACCAAATAGTAAATTTTCCAACATTCAAACAAAATGACTCTGTTTCAGCAGTTAACACCCTTGATCTTGTTTTAGTTTGCAATCCTAATTGCATTGATTTTCTTCAATGTGGTCCACAGTTAGGCCACTATGAAAAGGGAAGATACCATTACTCCATCAATTGGCAATATTTTACTAGTCTTAGTAACAATACAGTAATCACAAAAAATAAGTTTTGCTTTAAAAAAGGTAATTTTTTTCAAATGAATAAATACTTGAAACAATTCAACTAGGTTGAGCATTTTTATAACAAATCAGCCTGTGAATGTTATGAGTTATTTTTGCATATATATATTGAATCTTGTCGATTGTTTATTCCTATTTTAAATAATAAAAAAAAGAATAGTCAACCCTGGTTGGATGCAAAAGTTAAAAAAGCAATAAAGATTAAACATTCTATGTTTTATTCAAATTTGCATCGGCAAAGTCAAGAATCTCGAAAGGCTTTTAAAATTGTGCTAATGTTTTAAATGTGCTAATGTTAAAAAGCAAATCAAAAGATCAACTCGAGAATAAGAAATGGAATTAAGTAAAAAGAGCAAAGCTTGCACCAAAACTTTTATTCTCATACGTAAATAAAAAACAAAACACTAAAACGCAAATTAGAGCAATCAAGAACAAAAAAGATCAAGTTACAACTGAGATAGTAGACATTTCAGATATATTAAATAGGCAATTTCAGTCAGTCTTTGTTAATGATAATGACCAACTAATACCCTAATTCTTGCAAAGATGCGAAAACCAGTGCGATTGCAGTAAATTATCTAATATGATTTCCTTTGAAAAAATTCTCGAAATGTTAGAAGGTATAGATATGTCAAAAGCGATGGGTTTTGATGAAACTAGTCCGTTTGTTTTAAAGCATGCTGCAGATGGTTTTGTGGACCCAATTGTTCATATTTTCAAATTAAGCTTTGACACTGGATGTGTTCCTTACCACTGGCCTGTTGCAAATATATCACCAATTTACAGAGGGGGATCAAAACTTGAACCAG